CCTGCAGACGCAAACGTATTTTTACAATCTTTTGTAGAAGAAGCAAGAAATTTAACTATTCATGGTATAAAAATTAAAGATTGCACTTATTCTTTTAAAATTCGATCTTTTATATGTGATGTTCCTGCAAAATCTTTTATTACTTATACAAAGGGTCACTCGGGTTATAACTCATGTTCTAAATGTACAGCTAAAGGCGAATATTACATGGACAGAGTGACCTATCCGTATTTGAACAGTTGTCATTTAAGAACAGATAATGATTTCCGATTAAAATTGCAGGAAGAACATCATACAGGTACATCAATACTTGAATCAATTCCTAATATAAATATGGTCAGTGATTTTCCGTCAGATTCGATGCATTTAATGTTCCTGGGAATTACTAAAAAACTTGTTACTATGTGGTGTTACGGTAAACCTAAAACAAAATTATCCTTCCATCAAATGTCTGAAATATCAAAGTTAATAACAGATCAAAGAGAAAACATACCTTTCGAATTTAATAGAAAATTAAGACCATTGTCTGAAAGTAAAAGATGGAAGGCAACCGAATTTAGAACTTTTTTATTATACATAGGACCTATTGTTTTAAAATCTATCTTAAATCATGATCAGTATATAAATTTTTTAACTTTACATGTAGCTACCACTATTTTGTCAAATTCTAAGCATATGAAACAATATTTAGATTACTCCAAGTCTTTATTACAATATTTTGTAGAAACATTTATTACTTTGTATGGTAAAGAAAATGCATCTCACAATCTTCATCATTTATTACATATTTGTGATGATGCGGAAAAATTCGGAACTCTTCAAGAATTTAGTGCTTTCCCTTTCGAAAATTATTTACAATCTATATTAAAAATGATTCGCAAAAATACTAAAGAATTAGAGCAAATTGTTTGTCGTATAAATGAAAGAAACCATTGTATAAATCGTAATTTAAAAGTGAAACATAATGAGCTCGAATTTTTAAATCCACATTTCAATGGTCCACTTAACAATTCTCATAACTGTAATCAATTCAGTAAAGTAGTATTTAAACAGTTTATTTTAAAAATATATGAACCAGATAATTGTTGCATCTTAAAAGATGGAAACGTTATCGTTATTAGAAATTTTATTGTAAATGATGATGGTCCTGTTGTAATTGGAAATAAATTTAAATCGCTTACAAATTTTTATACTGTACCATGCGAATCGTCAAAATTAGACATATATTTAGTAAATGATGTTGGAAATTTACAATCTTGGAATCTTGAGCAAATTGCAAATAAATGTATTAAATTAAAATTTAAAAATAAGTATGTAGTTTTTCCTTTACTACATTCAAAATAATGTTCTGCAATCTTTTCTTATCTCTTGTGCTGATAGAAAATGTTATAATTTCAAATAATATAATTAAATTTTTTAATTCTACTTTAAATTCTGGAATGTGGGTATATTCCTGCATACAGATATACGTAATAACTTCGTATAGCATACAACTGAGTCGACAAGGCACACAGGGGATA